TTTTCCTAAATAAAAGTCCAATTTGGACCAACCCATATTTTCCCCATAAGCCCATTCTTATGAGGAAAATAAAAGCCTTTTTAGGTCTTATTTTCAGATATAAAAAGAGTTTTTTAGCAGCCAAAAGAAAAAAAGAGAGCAGTGTTTCGCAGTCAAAAATTCAGCCCTAACAGTCAACTTCAAATTGCGATTCCTGCTTTGTTTCTTGTCCGATTGAGCTGATTTTTGGACAGCATATTATATTAATCTCAATCTTTGATTAGGAACTGACAGAGTTGGATTTGGTGGCCTGCAGCTTCAGTTTTGCTGTCGTGAACAGTAGCTGCAAAATTGGTGATTTTGCTCCTTTAATTCTCTAGATTTGGTGCAATCTTATTTTGTTGTTGCTCATTGTTTGGCACTTGTTTTGTGGCCAATTTTGGAGAACAATATTGTAACTCTTGGTGATTATAGTGGAGCTTTTGGTCCCGTGGTTTTTTACTCTTCACATCGAAAGGCTTTCCACGTAAATCTTGGTGTCGTGTGTGATTGGTTTATTATTGTCTTGTTATATTTGTTTGGTTGAATTACTTGCTGCCTTACTATCATATTGCTTGTGGTTGTTTGTCTTCTCTTGGTTCAAATCGAGAAGGGAAAGTATAGACTTGGGTATTCTTCCGTTGTTATCCTGTCAGACATTCTTTGTTAGTGCCTTGTCTTTCCCAACAAAATTGTCTAGATGGCAATGTGAGACAAGTTAGTTTTTTTTATTTTGATATGTGAAGTGAAGTTGAATTCCTCTATGTTTGCCTATTTTTACGGTTATATTCATATGAACCAAATAATTAATATGATTGATTCTGCAAATATTTTTATGATCCAACTAGATTTAAGAGGAGCAGAAATCAGTTGCTAAATGATAGTTGAAGAGGGATAGGGAGACATAAGTTTCTTTTGTGTAGAAGAAGATAAGAAAATAAGAAATATGACGGAACTAAAGCGAAATATATTTTAAGAGTGTGAATTATACCAATATTTTTATCACATATTTGATTCATTCAGACTCATAAACCTATTAAGAACTTTTAAAAGCGAAGAGACAAACTCATATGCGAGAAATTGTGTAACCCTAAATATGGTTCAAATGTAGTTGTTAGTACATATTTTTTTTTCAAAAATGTTAGTATTGATATATAACCACGAAAATAACTCTCTCACATTTTTAGATTATGTAAAAGAAATCTCTTTTTTTGTTTTTGTTTTTATTGTTGCTCCCACTCCGTAAAATATTACTTCCATTACCAACTTCGTTTGTATTGAATATTTTTCTTTTCAGTCTACTTTTATTAAGAAACTCTACAAACAACTCTTTTATTTTCATAGTTAGTCTCGAATTTTTTTATCTTCTTTTCTTCTAGATCTCATCTCTATTTAACACCATTTATATATCAAACAACTTTTTCATTTACTCAGATTGTATTAGAAAAAGTTCTTCTCTTTTCTTGCTCTTTTTTTGTATTTATTTTTAGATTATATAAAACAAAATTTTATAGTTACTATAAAGTATCGTGTAATTAACTTTTTGTTCAAAATTTAATTCATTTTTATAATGTACCTGCAGAATGTTTATAGTGACGGTTGAATGTTTGTAGTTGCATTTGCTGAATTCTTTAGCGATGAATTCAACATTCATCTAATGGTTTCTGAGTTGACTACCTTCGCACAAGATATGCAACAGTATTATGGAGTACGATCTCAACAAGGTCAAGGTGGGATATGTTAGGATAGCGATGATCCACTAAAGCTGAAGTGCTATTTCACTCCACAACAACAAGATGACTTGGTTCACATAAGTTAGTGATTATGTAGCAATTCACAGACAACTTTTGATGTTTATTGTTTTTAAGATACATTAACTAATATTTAGGGTTTGTTATTTTGCAAGATACATTTTCTCGAGTTTTACAGTTTTTTGTAACAAAATTATTTAATTTGAATATAATATTTGATACTGTTAGTACCTTGTTACGTTTTGTCTATTATAAATATTTTATACATTATATATTTTATACTCTATATTAATTGTAATATAGAGTGTATTACAATTAATATATGATTGATACTACATTATAAGCAGATACAAGGTTTTTCAAAACTTAGTTATTTATATGATACACGATTATTTTTTATATAACAACATTTGGATGTATCACAACACGTGATACTATATTTGTATACTTGATACAAATCAGTTAATTTTCAATATATTTGGTACCTTTTAACATTATGTTTCTTATAAATTTGTTACAAATAAGTGACTATAGTTGATACTATATTATAAGTTGACACAAATTTTTCAAATAATATATTATGTATATGATGCACAATTATTATTTATCATGCTTTCCATAACACAAATTAATGTGTAGAACAAATTAGCCAAAAAAAAAGTATATTAAGTATACAATACACAATTATTATTTATCGTTCTTTCAACATCACAAATTGATGTGTCTCACAATACTAAACCTGATACTATATATTTACAAATGTTTCAATTCTCTAAATTTGCAATATATTTAGTATCTTTTAACATTATGTCTATTATCCTATACACATCACAACTTTTATCCGATACATTTACAACACTTGATACTATATTATCCGATACAAAAAATTTCAAAGAATTAAGTATCAAATTCATTATGTTAAACAAATAAATGCAATGTAATAGTATTTTCAGTAGTTATTAGCAGTTACATATACATTAATTACTTAACAAATACAATATATATTTTAAAAGTAACTTTATATCAAACAGAAAACAATACACAATATGTATACCGGATTCACTTTATCAAAAGTTAATAATAAAAAATATAATCAGAACTGAAAAACGTAATATTATAATTTATTGGATCGAAAATCAGTAAGCTAAATAGGTCCTTAGGTCTTCTTTTTTTTTGATACATTCATCTTGAACGTCTCTTGAACTGCGATGAGCAGTATTCATGTATGAACTTATATCTCTCTGAATTATATCTCGCATTTGAATGCTAATCTAAGTTATTTCTTTAATTCTCTTATATAAAAAAATATTTGAACTAATCAAATGTTAAATTTATTTTGGATACATTCATCTCGAACCTCTCTTGAACTACGGCGAGTACATTTTCATGTATAAACTTATATCTCTCTGAATAATATCTCACATTTGAATGTTAATCTAGTTAATTCCTTGATTTTTGTATAAAAAAAATATTTTAACTAAGCAAACGTATAATTTATTTTTGATGAGATATGAGTGACCATTATAAAATTAAAGGCTTCTTTTTCGATCTTCAAGATTTACAATATACTTATATGAATGATGAATATTTAAAGAGTGAACAACAAAACTCAACACAATTAGAAGGCCCCAAAAAAGACTTATGTCTTTGGACTTAAATTAGGAAGCCCAAAGTTAGATCGAGGGCATTTTAGTATTTTGATTAAAATGATAAACCCTAGTATAAATAGGTCCTTAGATTTTTTTTTTGGATACATTCATCTCGAACCTCTCTTGTATTGCGGCTGCGAGTAGGTATTCATGTATAAACTTAGATCTCTCTCTAAATTATATCTCGCCTTTGAATGTTAATCTGGTTAATTGCTTGATTCTCTTTATTGTTTCCTTGTTTTAATTGATTGCATCTCAATTTTTTGATAAGCCCTTTCTTACTTTGTAACTTGGATTTGAGATTAAAGGAACATTTTCATATGTTTAGGTAAACAATTACTTAGATTTGTGTTTATCCCAACAATTCTCTTTGATCTTTGTGTATTTTTATTATTTTGTATAGTTGTTCTTGGTGTTCATATGAGATTGATGATTCCATCTTCAATTTCTTTGAATTCCCAATCCCCTTTCACATCACTTTTGTAATTGTTTAGTTAGTATACTCTTGAAACCATAGGGAATGTCACTTCATCAACAAAAAGAAAAGGGATGACATTTCATTTTTTCCATTTTATTTTCAAGGCAAATGCATTTCATATGTCATAAATTATGTAATTCTAAGAAAATGTTTTCCTTTATTAATTGGTTCTCTCCATGGTACATTGAAAACTTATTATCATTTCATTTTAATTCCTTTATATGTTGTTTTAGTCAAACAAATGTGGTCCAAATTAATGTTATATTAGAACTTACAACTTAGAAATTCTACTATGCATTAATGATTTTTGATCCATATCTATCATTGTTCAATTGAATAATCATAACAATTACTTAGAAATCCTTATCATTTTAACTTATTTTTTTAAAAAAATTCACTTCTCCGTTTGGGTTTCTAACAGCACTCTCAATATTTATCTTTATTTCTTTAATTTATACTCCTCTAGATTAAAATTGATATGATTTTGCAGATGGCTTGGATGAAAATTTATCAGTAAATCGGCTCCACAAATGGATTTGAAGCAGGAGCAAATAATTTACTTTTATTTCTTTTGAAGTAAGTAACACTTTTTAGGCTAGCATCGTTAACAATTTCAATTTAAAGTCAGGTTTTGATTTATTTGATTGAGGCTATATTTATATATTCATACTCAATTTGATACGCGAATAAAGGGAAAAAAAGATTTTGTTATTTGTATAGGTAGTTCTACAAATTAGTTCGTACAAACAACTACTCTGTAGGTTTTTAGGGTTTCATTTCTATTTGGTCATAACACGATGGTCAATCAACTCTTCCTTTTCTCTTCTTGTCTTTCTCTCGCAAAGTCAAAGAGATAATTTCTTTTGTTTAAAATATTTCAATATAAACTTGATAGCACAAACGCAACGATAAAGGCAAGAATTTAAGAATTATGCTAAGATAAATGGGGTAGAGTATGAAAAAATTAATGTTAATCTGCTATGCTTTAGGTAAGCTCAGTGTCATATTCCGCCACAAATCCAGTCAAATTTTGTATCTGGAGAGGCGTACAGGACTCCAGAACGGTGGCATTAGCCTCTCTTATTTAGCATTTCTTTCTACTAAGGCCATGCTCCATCAAACACTTCTTTGATTTCTTTTTCTTTTTCTTTTATAATATTTAACTTTACTTTTGATTTTTTTGTTTGTTTCAAATCAATGCCCCTTTAATCAGTAGACTTATTCAGGGCAAACTAAAAAATTCTTTTTTTTTAAATGAGCTTAAAAATTTTTAGCATAACCTTACCAAAATTATGGATCAGACCAAACTAATTTTACAAGCTTAGCCCATATTAATGATTCATGTTTTGTATAAATATGCTAGTTACCATAAAATAGTAATCTTGACATATACATATTTTGATCACAATGTAAAACTAGGCAAGCATATATGCTTGGGCCTTACGTTTACCAATGGAGCTTAAACAGTGAATGGAGCTTAAACAGTGAAAAGACTTAGGTGTTACAAAGGTTCAAATATATATTATTTTTGACATGATATATATAATGTAATTTTTTAACAAAAAAAAATTTGAACTAATTTTTTGTGATTTCGCTCCATATAACTAGCTCCTCACTGCTTCGTAGTGCCCTTGCATGAAACTGTAACTGCTATCTTTTTGAAGATGACAAATAAGATGTCTAGGGCTAGTTTTTTTTTAAAGAAAATTATAAATAAACAAAAACAAAAACTTTTAAAAATTCACAACTTAACTACTTTTAACTCAACTTGATCATTTATTTCAAACTTAAAAAGATGTTTGAGAGCTCAACTACATAGTACCCAACAAGCTTTTAATTTTGACGAAATTCATTGACATACATTTCAAATTGACATGATTTTTTACAGAGACAACTCAAACAAGTCTTATACATTTTAAACATTCATAAATTTTTATTGTATCATTTTGACACTTTTTATATATTTCCAAAATCAAATTAAGTGTATTGCAAAACGTCTCCCACCTAAAAATGTCAATAAATTCGTGTGTGACATGTCACATGTGAAACTCCGTTAATAAATCAATTAGGAGAATAAGATAAATATCCTAACAAATCAATTAATAAAGGAACCAAATAGTGTAATCCAACAAATTTGTAGGTTCTTTTTCAAATTTTGTGTGGTGGTGAAAGGTGGGTAGATGGTAGGGAGAAAGAGTGAGAAAGAAGAAGGAGCGCGTTCAAAATTCGTGTAGAATATATACTATGTTAAATCAGTTAAAAGTGTTAAAAGACATAATGGATGCCTATTATATGAGTTTAAAGTTATATAAAAATTATTTGAGATTATTTAAGTAAAAAGTCGTTTTAATTTGAGTGTCTGTCAATAAGTTATACTTTTAGTATATGAATTAGGAAATACCAAAAAAGTTACTCTCTCAAAAATATATACTTGTTACATTTGTATTTAAAAATTAATTTGATAGTTTTAAAAATACTCTTTTATTTGATTAACTGAACTTAAAATATACCTCTAATTTTGCAATATTAGTGAAATATACCTTTAGATTCTCGAGTTTAGGTTAGTTTTCAATACTTTTCTCGAATTTTTATTAAGAGTTTCATACATCCTATAATAGTTTGTGACCACTCGCTATGTCATGTGACATATCAAAGGTGTATCAAAATTTAGTTATCAGAGGTGTATCAAAATTTAGTTAGTTAAGTAGAAATATGCTTTTAAGTCTGTCAATAATTACAAGATGAAATTAATAATTTATGTCAAGTTTTCATATATATTTTCAATACTTCTCTCTTAAGATATATTTAAAAATGCATGAAAAGTATTATAAATTGTCGAACATTTCATATAAATATTATTAATAAAATATTTTTAAAATATTAATCACAGATTGACTTTCAAAACCCAATATGTGACAAATATTACTCTAGCCATTTTAATTAATAAATAAATAAATAAATAAATAAATAAAGGAGTTTTATTACTTCTTTACATACTATATAATAGTAATCAAGTTTTACTAATAAGACCAATTAAGTACTCTAAATATATTTTCAATTAATAACTTTCCAAAAGGATATGGCGTGTCAATCCAGACAAGTAATATGAGGAGGAGGGAACAATATATTTATGAATTTTTAGAAAATTTATTAATTATTTTGGAAGATTTTTTTTAAAAAAAAGTATAACATAAATATGATTCTTAATTTAGTTTTAGCGGACTATTATATCCTCTAATTTTAAATGTGCACAAGTAGATACTTAAAAACTTGTATAAAATTGAACAATTAGACGGACATGACATAATAACGTAGGAAGTCATATAGACACAAAATTTTCATGTATGACGAATGTGTCTATCTGTTCAATTTTATACAAGTTCAAGTGTTTAATTATACCTATCCAAAGTGAAAGATCATAGTTATCAACTTGGCGTGAAATTTTGGATCATATCTATATATTATGCCTATTATTAATTAGACTAAATTATTACTCTAAAATATATTTTTATTTAATTAATTTTCCTAAAATATATGTCATGTCAAATCTAGTGGAGGGAAATATATATATTTTCTTTATTTTTTATGAAATTTATTTATTATTTTGGATGATTAATAAAAGATTGAATTTGGTGTATATAAGAAGGGAGGGAGTACTATACAGATACTTGTACACATATAACAGGCCAAATACTCTGTACATTTCAGTTTTCTCAAAACAGAAAGTGGCTTTTCCTCTGCATTTTCCTTCTTCACGCCTCTGCAGTGACCAAAAATCTCTGTTAATCGCTTCATAAATCGACCGTAAAAATGGCTTCTGAGTGAAACGGGAGACTAGAATCTTTACTTAATCTGTTTTTCTCTGTTTTTTTTTTGCGCAGTACAACTTAAAAACTTGCTAGAAGTTTAAGGGATTCCTGTTTTGAAGATTCGGAGTTTGTGATTTCAGGTACATTAACTTTATTTTATTTTTTTGCTTTTGAAAATGTGATGATCTCTGGTATCAAGTGTATATGTTTCTATTTACGTATAAATAGCATGTATATATGTGTACGTTTTATTTTGTTACAAGTTTTGTATTAAGTTATTACTAGTGTGTGTTTCTTCTCGCAACATTCTAGGGTTTTTGTAACCCTTCATGTGGTTATGGGTTTTGAGGTATGGTGATGGATGATTTGCTATAGTAACTCATGGAACCGCCTTTTTTTTTTTCAAATATGAAAAGTAAATATAGGGTGAAGTCAAAAGATCAACATCTATTGTATATATAAATAAAAAAATAACTAGAATCATGTATAAACAGCTTAATTTTTTGAGGAAGGGGCTGATACTACCTGGCTCTGCCCCTCTATAGAGCCTTCTGTTATTACTTGTGTTTGAAACAGAGGTGGTTCCAGATTTCTGTTTTGTGTTTTTGTGTGTATAGTAAACGGTGCATCTGCTACCTTTGAATCCTGGATTAATATTTAATTGAAAGAAAAACAATTCAAAGAAACGCCATACTATATTCATCGAGGTGGATGATTGTTATGATTTACTTTGGACCCTATGTGAAAATAGGACGCAACAAATTAGTATTTTGTATTTTTCAGTTTGCCTTTTGTACTGAGCAATTAGACAGAATTGATTATATTGCTACACATGGATTGAATCTCCCAAACTAAAATTTGAGGTAATCCGGACTTTATAATGAAATTGCTGCTCAGGTATCAAATTGTATTACTGTCTGATTGTTTCTTGTGTTCACTTTGACAGTCTCTAGCATTAATTTGTTCCACAGACTATTCTCTAGTTTAGTTTGGTTATCAACAAAATACAAACTGTTATTTAGCTTTTAATCTCATTACAGGTTGAAGATGTCTCATAGAAGATCAGGGAAAAGTGGGAGGACTGATTCAGAGTTTGAAGAGCTGAAGTATAAATACTTCAAAGATTTAAGAGATGAAAAGGTCAAAATTAGTCGTTCTGGGAAGTATTTCAAATGTCCATACTGTCAGGATTCAAGTAGAGAGTATGATTCACAAGAGCTTCTACGGCATTCTTCCCGCATTGGTATAGATTCAAGAAGTGCTAGTTTTAGAGACAAGGCTAGACATTTGGGATTGTTCAAGTACTTAGATAGGTACATACATGTAGACAAGAACACGTCTGAATCAAGTCGGAGGAGATATTCTGAGCTATCAGGGGAAGGTTCTCAATATACCAAGAGTAATCCAGTAGAGCCATCTCAGGTCACGGAGAAGTCTGAAGGTGGAGGAAATTTTTATCCGCCTGCTGCTAGGAGCATTGAAGCAGTGGATAGACCTGTTGATGGTGCTGAAGAGCCCCTGAGAAGGAAAAAACAAAATGCGGAGAACAGAGTGGTACTCGAACCTCCTCCCAAAAGTACTAAAGATGGTATGCAACCCCAACCTCTCCTAGCATCTAGTAAGCCAGGTATCAGCAAGACCAAGGATGATCTAATAGTTTTTCCTTGGATGGGGATAGTAGCCAATATTCCTATTGAATATAAGGAAGGGAAACGTGTAGGTAAAAGTGGAACAAATCTTAAAAAGCTGTGGATTGAGAAAGGGTTTAATCCACTGAAGGTTCATCCTTTGTGGAACTACAAGGGTCATACCGGATATGCCATTGTGGAATTTAAAGGGGATTGGTCGGGATTCATGAATGCTATAGCATTTGAAAAAGCATTCGAATTAGATAAACATGGGAAAAGAGATTGGAATTCAGTAAGACATCCAGATAGTAATTTGTATGCTTGGATTGCACGTGATGAAGATTACAACGCTGGGTCTTTCATTGGTAACTTATCTCCGTAAACATGGAGATCTTAAGTCAGTTTCGGGAATACAGGAAGAGAACAAGAGGAAAGATTCAAGGCTACTATGGACCTTGACCAACGAGTTAGAGATGAAGAACAAGGAGTGTGAAGAGATGGAGAAGAAAATAACCAGAGCAGAAGTTTTTATGGATAATGTGATGAGTCAAAAGGAGGAGATGGTCAAAAACTACAATGAAGGTGTGTTTTCCTTTTGCCTCTTTGCTGTAAACTAGTTACATAGTATATGTATCTCTATCTTATTGCTTCACTTTTAACATAATGCTAAAAGATACATCTGGTAAAATTTGTAACTTGTATCATGAAGTTGTGCTCATTCTTTTGCTGTGTTCCTCCTCTAATGTTGTATGATCTGTTTACCAGAGATGGAGATGATGCGGCATAAAGCGTTCCATCAGCTCGATGATGTTATACGTGAGCATGAGAAAAGCAAAATGCAACTTGAAGCTCAAAAACAACAATTGATGCAACAAGAACTGGAATTGAGAAAACGTGAAGCACTGAATGAGAGTGAGAAGAGAAAGCTTCAGCTCCAGAAAGAGATGGTAAAAAAGAGGCATACAGAAAATTACTTTATTTTTTTTTTGCAGGTGATGCTTCAACAAAGGGAAAGTAGAGATGATACTCTTTGGGTCTCTAAGATACTGCAGTTGTTCCTTTTAAAGATGTTTAACATAATTTTTATCTGATCTAAAGGAATTTGAATTATTCGAGCATATCCAGTGTGGTTAACACCGCCTTTCTGCTAACACTTGGCTTGCCTGATAATATGGTTACAGGAATTAATTCGAATACCAGGTCCGTAGATGTCTTCTGATGCTTTAGCCTGATAGCCATTTGAAATTCTTTAATTGCAGAATGAAAGGGCAATATTGGAGCAGAGAAATGCAGATGAGAAAATGCTGCAATTGGCTGAAGATCATAAGGTGTGTTGTGCTATTTTGGCCTAATACAGCCTCTTTGAATACAGAATACTCCATAACTTTTAGCAATTGACTTTGAGCTTATCCTTGCAGAGAGTAAAGGAACAACTTCATAAAAGAATAATTGAACTGGAAGCGAACCTTGATCAGAAGCAAGCACTACAGTTGCAGATTGAGCGCTTAAGAGGTTCAATGGAAGTGATGCGACTCATGAATGAGGAAGGCGACGTCGAAGCTAAGAAGAAACTGCAGTCAATTCAAGAAGAAATCAAGGAGAGTGAAGAAGAACTTGATAGCTTGGAAACACTGAATCAAGCTCTAATTATAAAGGAAAGACTTACAAATGATGAGGTGCAGGAAGCCCGTAAAGAATTAATCCATGTGAGTATTTTACCTTTTTAATTCATCTTCATAAATATTTGTTTATAATGAAGCAATGTGATTTTACTCTACGAAAATTGGAGGTAAATATATATGCTTTAGATAGGTTTTGGTTACTTTATTCTTGTCCACCAAAGTAACACGCATTTTTATTCACCAGCACGAGCAATGAATCCTTCTATTTGTTAAGGAGTGAGTACACCATAGATCTGCCTTTTAGGAAGTCGAGCAGACGCTTTTCATTCTTCACGCATTTGCTTCAATGATAATTGCCCATTAATTAGTTTGTATTGGGATTCAATCTAGAACTACATCTTCACAATCAATAAAATGCTCAGCAGTGTTAAAAAGAAGAAAAAAGAATAGTGCCAGGACATATTGGTATTTGCTAGCAAGATCCAGTGCCTAGATGAATTCTTTTAGCTGCCGTTCCACTGCTTGAAACAGTATGCCCACCTACATTAAGTGCCTTTGTCATTTACAAGTTTGTATCTGCTAAAAGTGTAAAATTTTCTCAATAAAATTCTGGAGATATGCATTACAGAGGAACCTTCTGGAGATGGTAAATCTAACTTGGTAGTTTATTTTACTCCTAGAATTGTTTTTCCCCTCCATGTATGCCCTTGCTTTAATCAATGTAATTTTCTACATTCATGAATCACGATCATAAACATTATTTTTTTGGTCATTTGAATTATCATACATGTTTGGTTTATCATACTTCTTCCTCTGTAATGTTTATTTCCAGAGATTCTCATTCATAATCAGCCAAAGCTTGCTAATATAGCTCATGCATTAAATTGGCATCTGAAAACGTTTGCAGTAGTAGCTGCAAGCTGTATATTTTTAAATGTACGTTGCCTTTATATCTAGAATAAAGGAATAGAATTACAGACCTACAAATCAGCCTCCATGGTTCTAAAGTTTATAAAAGTATTTGTGTAACATGAAAAGATGATTTCAGTCTCAACCTGCTAAACAGTACTGTATGAACAGCAATTTTATGTGCAATCTTCATTTCTTTCCCTTTGCTCTAGTTAATTAGTGCTTTCAAATTTTTTTCACGCAGGGTTTAAGGGAGAGTCGTGCTTTTATCGGTGTCAAGAGAATGGGGGAACTTGATGGGAAGCCATTCCATGCTGCTGCCAAAAGAAAATTTAATCCTAAAGAAGCAGCAGAGAAAGCAGTGGAGATATGTTCGTTGTGGGAGGATTACCTGAGGGATCCAAACTGGCATCCTTATAAGATTATCCAAAAGGGTCATACTGCTGAGGTATGTACACTTTTTAACTATTATTACATGTATTCTTTGTTTTTGTTTTTTGAAATGTTTACTCATTCAATTTTTATTTGCTTAGGAAATAATTGATGATGATGATGAGAAATTGAAGGAACTAAAGGCCGAATATGGTGATGAAGTTTATCAATCTGTTGTAACTGCGTTAAACGAGTTGAATGAGCATAACCCCAGTGGCAGGTACCCAGTACCTGCGTTGTGGCATTACAAGGAAAAAAGAACTGTGTCATTGAATGAAGGAGTTAAACACATAATGAAGCAGTGGAAGGCCCATAAGAAGAAATTAAGATAAAGCATTTGACTAAAAGTTTGAGGGGAAAGAAGTAGGAGAGTTGATTGTCCTAGTATTAATCCTAGTAGGCAAGCTGAACTATTAAAGGAGTTCAGATTCTGCAAAAACTTCATTAGTTTTGCTCTAAATTTCAGACGAGACAGTTTGTTCTTTATCTGCTGCTTTCTTTTGTCATTAGATAGATTGCAGCTTCAAGTATTGTGTGAATTTTGAGCACAAACAGGCAACAGGTAGAAATAAGCATTTGACAGGACAGAGAGCTATTTTACAGAGGAATACTCTGTAATTTCACAGCACAGTGCTGTCATTCTCTTCATCAACAAAGCCTGTCCATTGGTTTTTCAGGAATATTGCCTGATTCATCTTTCTCACTCATTTTTACTGTTATTTGTGTAGATTGAGTAAATGATTTTAATGGTTATATTGATCTCACTTCTCTTCGTTATTGTGTTTCCTACAGGAGACAATGTTTCTACTTTCACGAGGTAGGGGTAATGCTACCTACACTCACTTTCTTTAGATCATAGTTGTTGGATTATTAGTTTATGGAGTAAGAGTTTAATTGGAGATTTGATGACCCCCAAGTAAATATGATTATATTGTGGAACGTGCAAATCTCTACTCAATTATCCAGACATACACAATTTCTTGTGCTTCATGGATGTCTATACCTTAAGAGTTGAAATAACCTTTGAAATTCCCATGAAATTGTGCTCTCTGCTGTCCCTTCATAAAGTCTACTTGGGAATTGCGTATTATAGTTTAACAATGTAATCCTATATGTAATAATAAACTGATTTAAAAGGGCTAAAAAGAAAGATTTTACGTTGGAAAATGTACGTGCTATTATCATGTAGAATTCACTTATAAGACTCCTGGGAAGTTACTTACATTCCACTACTTTTAATGGCTCAACTTCCTCCCATGAATTTCCTTTTCAACAAATGAGAGCATGTTTAAATGCCAGAAATTGTCCATTTAAAACACAGTAGCTACCAGAAATGGATTATTCGCAATCAAATTGGAACAAAATTTCAACTACCACGATATATATTTTCAATCAAGCTTACTACAAATTACTGAAATACAAATAGTGAACACATTTACCTCATGAGGATGACATTCATCAAAGCAAAGTATACTAAAACAGTAACAACAAAACAAGTAGAATAATCGTAAAATAGATTTCATACTAAATTATATAGTCCTAATAGAAGCTGCGGGCTACATGTTTTTGCAGCCGCTTCAGCTCTTCTATCATCTACACTTCATCCCTTCCCAAATCCCTATTACAATTTCTCCACAAAATTCATCAATCCTTCCCCTTTCACCTCCAACAATAAAAGGTCCAAAAATATATAAAAAAAAGAACCCCATTACCAGAAAAACTTTACTTTTCCATAATCCCAATTCCAGAAAAAGCATTTTCTTTTTCTAACTACTTTCACAATCTCCCAAAATACCCATTAACAACCATAGTCAAACAGACACATAAAATAAAATTACTACTACACTATTTAAACTCTGAAATTCTTCCCAACAAAAGTTTGACCAAATTGCCAATGTGCAGGTGCTATATTCCATGAAGTAGAGCTCCTTCTATCACCAGCTCTAACCCTAAATGAAAGTGACTGACCAAACAAAACTGAATTTGTTTGCCAATTTTGCCCCCAGTTCCTGCTCATACTTATCCAATTAGTTTTTGAACCTTTAATACTAAGACTCACAATATCCCCTGCACCCGCCACGTTCGTTACCAAAACCAAGTTGAAGTAACGGAAACCGTTAATTGTGAACCTTATTCCACCTTGCTTCCTGCATGGCACCCTGCGTAAATAAATAGAATAACTCAGGTCAATTTAGTCATCCATATGTTACGGTAAAATAATTACTAGGAAACTATGCTTCACAATCTACGGGTTGCTGTTTGACATTTTCCGCTATACTAGTTACGGAGAGGATTCGCGCATAAAATACGGAGAAGGTGTTATTTATCGATCGATTAAAATAATTAGTTTTATAGTTGTTAATCCATCGATTAAAATAATTGCATTCAATATTTTTATAGTCCAATGGTGACAACTGTGTATTTGGTACAATAACAGATATTAATAGGGTAAAAGAGAAAAAGCATGCGAGTTGTACATTTTGGCAGGTTATTATTTCTTCTACCCAAATGAAAATGACAAAAGCAATAAATAAAAGAACCAACTAGAAAACAAACCGAAATGGGGCACAAAAAAAACACAGTAACTGACAGAGAAAGATAAGGAATCTTACCGGCGATAAACGACGGGGACAATTCCGGCACGGTACTCCGCGATATGGAGGAACATAGGCATGGCGAGGTCGAAATGAGGGCGAGGAGGGTTACACCAACCGCCGTTGTCGTTTGGGAGAGCAAAGTTGGGAGGGCAGAAGTTCGTAGCAGTAATGAAGATGGAAGGACTTCCGGGATGGCACCATTGTGGGTAGTTGTCACATTTGATCTCAAAACACGCTCCACAACTCAGTCCATTGTTGAATAGCGCTGTGCTAAGTGCTCCATTGTTCACTCCGTATCCCTGACTGTATAGGTTACCATACCCACACGCTCCACCTGTAAAATCATCACAAATCTCAAAATTAGTCTAAATTTTAGTTACATTACACTTTTAGATCTACAAGCATTTCTCTGAAAATAAAATCAAAATGCTAGAGAAGAAGAACAAAATAGAGTAGAAATGGGGCATTTCATGTACATACACAAAAAAAAAAACGCTGCAAATGAGCAAAGACTCATAGATTTACAAATTGACTAACATTTCCGTGAACATTGAACGAGAAATAGACCAAAAATAGAGTACATTATGTGCAGAAAAAAGAGTAGTCTGTGAGTTGAAAGTAGAAGATTACAGAGGAAACGGTGACATACCCATAGTACCAGAAGCGTCGCTTCCGCCATAAAAGGTAGCATGAGCACTCTGCCATGCTCCGGCAGTAAAAACACCAGGGATTCTAGCTTCAGCTGTTAGTAAAATTAGTGAAAAAAGTGAAGCAACACAGAAGGCCACATTCAAAAACCCCATTTCTACTAAAAAACAGAAGGAAAAAGAAAAACTGGGAAAATGTATGAAGGAAGATGAGGAGGAAGTAGTGGAGGGAAAGAGGACTACTTATGGAGGGAGCAAGGAAAGTGAATCAGTGGCAGTAGATGTAATTATAGTAGCATTACATATCCCTTTTTGGAAATGGCAGTATTTAGCAGTAAACGATAATTCAACTTTTCTTCTGTTTTGTGTGTCACACTCCAATAGAGAGTTACTTTTTGCTATTTTTTTTTTTAATTGATTAGTACATTTTGTAAAAAAAATATATACAGTTTATTTTAAATAGTAAAAGCTAAAATTACTTTTACTTTTTACATGAAAACTCTGTCGCATTTACTTCCTTTTAATTATTACAGTATGGTCCATTAAAACACTTTAATCAGAGTCTTTTCACATGAAATAAATTGATTAAGAAAAAAATAGTATCTAATTTTAGAGTAATATTTCGAAACGGAATATTATAAAATTTATTTTTTTCTATTTTAGTTATATTCAAATTTAATAATCATTGATAATTACTTTTACTGGCATGTTGTAAAAGCAAAGGGGAACCAGGTGGATGAGTCCATAATTAATGGGCCTATGCGAAGAGCATTGTGGGCTTTGAGCGGGCCCATTAGAGAAAGGCATTTCTCGAGCCGCACGCGCGACGGACAGCTAGCACTCTACCAGGGCACTTTGGTAAAAGGTGAAAACAAACAAATTATTGACTTTTCCCTCCACAAGATATACAATCTTCTCTATCTATACTCTTTTTTCAATTTTAATATTCTCTTCGTTTTAATTTGTTCCTTACTAACAACAATCCTGGTAAGAAAGATAAATAATTTTTATTTCCAGTCGAAAGGTTTCGAATTCAAGCTCACTAGATACAAAATCGCTTATGTTAGAGAGCATTTTACCATGAAACTTTTCAACGTGAATTTAAATTTAGTCGGACTTCAATATTGATATCGAACACCAAGTGAAAAACTAAAAAACAAAAACAATGTTTACATGGTTAAGCTTGTGTATATCATATTCTTTTCAGATTAGATTTTGTGGGACTATACTAAGTATGTTATTATTGTTTTGACTTTGTATGAAGTTTAAATTAAAAAATATTTTTTGAATGTGATTTTACATTAAAAATATGCTAGTTTTAGACACATCATAAAAAATAAATTTTAAAATTTTAAAAACCATAAAGAGAAGTATTATAAAATAGAATAAAAAGAAAGAGTATTAGCGAACAAATTGAAATAGGTAGTAATTATTTGTAGGAAGGAGAAGGGTTAAGATTGAAGAAGTTTCATGGACAATTTACATGGAAATCTAATGATTGTGTCTCTCAAAACTATTGGCTATACTCCTTCATGCTTTATTCAAGTTATTATTAGACGCATTCATGATTTATTTTTTGGTGAATTTATTTTAAAAAAAAGTTATAATAAAAATATATTTTTTATTTAAAAAAGTGCAATTTCAAAACCTCAATTAGATTGATATTAGCACTACATTGCAAGGTAAAACTATAATTATGACTCATTAATCAAATGAGCTTTTAGTATTTTTTTGAAAATAAGTCCAAACACAATAAGTCAAAAAGTTTGATAAAGTTCATAGGGACAACTTATTTTTTAAGAGGCTACAATTCGAATTGCAAATGCATGAGCTCAAATCTAATATATAATAATTAGCTCTTTTTAAATATTCCCTCTATATTTTTATATTTAATTTTTTATAAATAAAAAAAGAAGAAGTAAAATAGAGAAAAATAAAATATTCACCAGACAGGAGACAATCACGGGAATTTCCTTTCTCCTTATATGTAAGGTAGAGCATACAATATTCATTCTTTTTCTTATAAACAAATGGAACTAAAATTATGAAAAATTGGGTGTAGAGAGTTAGGGGCAGAACGAAAAGAAAGCACTCTGATAGACTGACATTGATATAATAAGATAAAAATTTAGAAAGCGAATGAAACAGATACCACAAAAATTTTAAGAGTAAAATGAAAAATATTTGTAATAATTTATTTTTTAAAAAAAAAGTACCACAAGAGTCTATCGTGAATTCATCCAATTAATTAATGGAAAAGTTAGAGGAACTTTAAAATAGTGAAATATGCTTGAGATTAAGTTAGGGAAAAGTTATATAAGTAAACATATCATAATCTCTGAAATTTCTTATTATATAAAAAAATTGCAAACATATCATTTTTGATATATCCTTTTCTCCTCTCGATCAGATACATGTCTCCTCTTTTCAGATATTTCTTCTATCCCCTCTCGTATATGTCCCTCCCATTAGGTAATGTATCAGACAACTAAGAAATGTATGTGACATCAATAAAAAATTGGAGATTTTTATAATTAGAAAAACTTTTAAAATATGTTATAATTAGTCCCAAATATATGAGATTTGCATACTTTTTTTCTTAAAATAATTTGTTCCTTAAGTTCATTCTCAAATGCACTTTAATTTAGTCATCTTCAAGTAAAGAATTTAGAGAGGAAGGAAAAGGAAATATGAGCAGCCGACATTAAGGACAAACTTTAATTTCTCCAAGCCTTTGAAAAATAGAGATGCTTTATTCTAGTCATTTTAAATCTTTTTTTTTTTCATACAAGATTATTGCTTTTGATTTTTGAAGTACAAATATTTTAATTTTGGGAGGTGGGGGTCAATTCCTAAAAAGAAAAAAAGTGTTAATTGAGGTAATTAAGATGTAACTTCATGTTTGGAACGACGTATCTTTCGGTACATAATTAAATAATTAATTACTCTAAAAATTAGTTCACCTCGAATATTTTATTTTTGTTGTATTTTTCACCTTTAGTATTTGGAATTTTGTTAGCGTCTTTTAATTAAACTTATTGTCAACGGCCACATATAGTGTTAGGTGTTAGGTATTGTTACTTTCATTTGTACTGCTTTTACTAAAATGGCATCTTCTACAGTGTTACTGATTGGTACTCTACTAAAAAAAAGGATAATTAAAGCATCATGTTATGTTGAATTAAAATGAAATGCATTTTTCTTTTTAGAGATTAAAGTTTTAAATTATATATGTGTGTATTTATTAAATTCCTTTCGTGATAGGGTAGATATATTTGACTAGTAGAGTGAACATGCTATCAAATTAAAACATTATTATACCTAACATTCAACTAATTTTTACCCAACTTCCTCTTTATCTAATTTCTAGCGTGTCTACATATATAGCTCCCGGAATAAAAATTATTCCGATAAGGCGATAATTATACTTTCACCATTTTTTATTTTTTAAAAAAGTTTAAGAAAGTATTTTATTTTATTTTTGAACTTTATGATTTTAAACTAAAATAGTGTTGAATGTATTAAAATGTCATTTAATCTTATGATCTTAAATATGTCTAGTGAAAAGTTAAAATTAAGAAGTTGCCAGGAAAGAAAGATACGTTCCTTTTTATAATGACTAAAAGGTTAATTAAGACGAACAAAATTAAAACGAATATATATTCCTATACTAGTGTATATGTATCAATCATAATGCATGGACAAATTGTAGAAAATATTAAACAGCATATTTCTTGTCATATGAGTACAATGTTTTTGGATTCAACTGCATGATAAATTAAACAACAATTGCCAGTATTAGGTGTAGCCTACCAATAACAAGCTATATTGGATTTTGGAAATGTGTATCCAAGTTTCATAAATGATATAACAGTCCTTCCCACTGAGATGTGCTTGTAAGTTACTAAAAGTTGTTGACTGAGAGTTATAACTAAAGTGCCCCACTACTCAAAGCAAAAGATTCAATTTTTGCACGTTAGTTACCAATATTATTAAGTTGTGAACTAATTCTTGTTATAGAAATTTGTTTGTACTTACATTATAAATGTGTAAATATTTCAAGCATATAATGGATTGGTGACGTTTTGATGAGACTATAATGCAAAATTTGAGTCCTAAAAAGTAAAGAGTACTTCCAAAAATCACCGTTTCGAGTGTTATCTTTACTGTTTTTCCTAATCACAGTTAGGAGTTGTTTTTTGGGACCAATTCAATACGTGGAGAATTCCCTTTCACGGTTTCACTTTAACAGCCCCGTCCAACTTAAAGAGACAAAACTAGAAAATGTTCATGCACCCATATTTACATAAATCAAGCAATATAATTTGAGGAGTAAGTTTTTTTTTCTTAAAAACTCTCAAAAGCCCCAAAGTAAAAAAATCTGGATCCATACTTTATAGAGTGTTAATATGGGAATGCCTAATTGGAGAAAGGTTCCAACATTGGGGTTCGGTCATGAAAATGTTTCGTTGGGACCATGTAAGTTTTCGTAAACAGGGAGAAATAGCTTACCCTAACCCATGTACTAACTCCACGTTTACCATTTGTTTATTTTTTCTCTTTTGTCTTTTAGGACCATTGCATTGAATGCATTTTCATCCTGAGAGTTGAGACATGCCAACATCATCAACCTAAGGCTACTCATAACCAATCCAGGACCAAACTACCACAACTACCATCTTAAGTAACCTGCAAGTCATCAAGAGTACTTTTTTGGCCCCTCCAGTAATACTCTACTACTAAGGAGGTCTTCAGGAACATTATAATCAATAAATTCATCATAAATACATGCAATTATTAGACTGACATAATGGTAATTTACTCTGTTGAAATAGGAACTGTTCGTACATGGATAATCAAATCAAGTTATTTGTCTCTGGTTGTTTTCTCAAGGCAGAAGACTACCAACCAATTAATAGATGTGTTACTATACAATTTGAGAAACAAACTACCTCTTGATTAACAATTTACAATAATTTTTTAAGTGCATGAGTAGCTAGAGTGAGAAGGGTTTTTGTTACTCCTATCTTGTTAAGATTGCAGACTGATGAACTGAGGCTTACACCTCGTTTAGTCATCATTATTCCCTGTATTGTGAGGCCTAGACCTCGTTTAGTCATCATTATTCTCTTTATTGTGAGGCCTAGACCACAATTTTTGTAGCAGTGCCTTAACTGTCTGTTATCACCATGTCAAAGGAAGACTAGTCAAAAGTATAAGATACTACTGAAAGATTTGAGCAAATGAAGCTTCATCCATGAAATATCCTCAAGCATCTGTGGCAATAATGTCAATCAAAATAGAACAATGATCTCTCATTTGGTGAGACAGTTGAGTTCATGTACCTTCAGTTTGCCAAGAGTTGAGTTCATCTACCTTTGCTAAGCTCAGCTTGAGTCACGATCATGTAATTCAGGATCCATCTTGTAAATTTCACGGGTTTATAGAACAAGCTGTAAAATCCTGCATCAGAATTCAACACAAAAGTTAAGAAGATGACTAAGACTGAGTAGTTTAGGTTATTAAACCCTTTGAGATTTGAAATGGACAAAATTCTGTCCAATTAGGACGGTCTCTATAAGGACCTCTACCTACAAGCTTAATCAAACTCATTCCATAAAGAACAGAACCAACATATCTGCTCAATGAAGTGGATTGTATCAAATCGATCTACCTACTGCTCTTTTTTTAATCATTAAACTCTAATGGATATTGATATCAGTTGTAAGTAAGACGATGATAAGTTGTAAGAACAACATAAAAACCAGTCAAAAGATCATTATTGGTAACTGCAGTCTGAAAGTAGGAGATTTTTCCATGGTGCAATCTGAAAGTAAAAGTTGGTGACAGCCATAAAGATCAAGATTAAACCTGTCTGAACGGATGTCTACTCTGCAAAAGTGATGGCAACAGAACTTTTGGAAAACAAAGGGCTACCATCTGATGAAATTTTGCTCAAACTACACAGTAAACTATCAGTATTACAGAAACACGTAAAGATTGAATCACTAAATAGTCAAACATTCAAGCTGAATTCTAGTGGGAAGAGTTACCATACCTTTGACGGAACCTAATATCGGTATACGAGTTGATGACAATGGAACGGGGGCAGAGAGTTTGGAGATGAATGGTACTCAGGAAGCATGACTGGTAGAACTGTACTCACATAATAGGCTACCAAATAGTATCAGGTCGTTAGCCTGGTGGAGGATTATATGTGGGATGTGGCGAGTACACAGGATCTTGGGAGCATACAGATTGATGATAATTGAACGCGGGCATAGAGTTTGGAGATTAATGGTACTCATGAGGAATTCCTCTGGTAGAACTGTACTCACTTAATAGGCTACCAAGACGGTATTCAGGTCGTAAGCCTAATGGTGGATTATACGTGGGATGTGGTGTGTACACAGAATCTTGGGAGTATACGGGTTGATGATAATGGAAAGCGGGCAGAGAGTTTGGAGATGAATAACACTCATGAGGCATGCCTCTGGTAGAACTGTACTCACTTAATAGGCTACCAAGACGGTATTCAAGTCGTAAGCCTGGTGGAGGATTATACGTGGGATGTGGTGAGTACACAGGATCTTGGGAGTATACGGGTTGATGATAATGGAACACGGGCAGAGAATTTGGAGACATTCAAGAGGCATGCCTCTGGTAGAACTGTACTCACTTAATAGGCTACCAAGATGGTATTCAGGTCGTAAGCCTGATGGAGGATTATACGTGGGATGTGGCGAGTACACAGGATCTTGAGAGTATACGGGTTGATGATAATCGAACGCGGACAGAGGGTTTGGAGATGATTGGTACTCAGGGGCATGCCGCTGGTAGAACTGTACTCACTTACTAGGCTACCAAGACGATACTCAGGTCGTAAGCCTGGTGGAGGATTATACGTGGGATGTGGCGAGTACACAGGACCTTGGGAGGACAAATTCGCAGAGTATAAAGCATAGGGATGATGGTTTACAACATCCTGGAGTCCTGCTTCCACATTTACTAGCTGATATTCGTGAAGCTCTACTAATGCATCCTATCTGGGATAGTCATAATGCTCTGCTAGAGTCTCTCCTCTGTAAATATCAGGATTTAGCAGTTTGTCCGCCTATAAGAACCGTGAGGCTCCACCAGTCGTCCCTCTCTGGAAGTATCACGATTATGTGTCATTGTGTCACATCCATAAACACTGTTTTCCAAAGCTTTGTTATGTGATTGACCAGCAGGAAGTGGTTGTGAATTTTGAGGCCAAGCTAATGGCAGCAATGGAGTTGTAACTACATCGCTTTTCAGCAGATGTGGATGTGAGTGGTACCTAGGCTCTTCCATCCACTTAGTTTGTCGAACATGTTCAGGCTGTCTACTTTTATCCATGCGCCGCCCCTTAGTTAAACTTGTCTTGTCCATAGTACTGGTCTCTGATTTGAGTTGTACACCCGACGCTTTGCTAGCAGAAATGAAAAGCCTACACAAATTCTTCACCAATTGATTTGCAACAAATACACAAAAAATGTTGGCATGATCCACCAGGAAACATAAATATTATCACCATCCAAACAAATCTAAGGATTTCCAATAAATGCAAATACAATGTGCAGATACCTGTTCAGAGGTCAATTTACAATTAAACTTTGTCTTCGTGTAATAGTTTGTTTGAATTACTTCCCTAAATTTCTCCTCTACTAATGGTAAGCAATCATCAACAATGGAAAAACAGACCCGAATCATCAAACATATAGTTAAGACAAAGAGGGCATTCAAAAGATCATATCCATGAACTGCACTAAACATAAGCACCAATACAATTCTAGAACCCAAAACCACCACCAGCCCTTACTCGACAAAGTATTCCAATCCAAAGAAACAAAATGAAAGATAACTCCGTAAATCCCATCCATCGTACTCCTAGTCTCCCCACCTTTCACCCCAATATCAAAATACACACACAAAATATAACAAAAGAGAAGCCCCTAAGTGTCACTCATATGCTAACAACTTATGTACATGCTTCATCTAAGAAGTTTGAATTCTACTCCTTTTTTGTTTGTTTGCATACAACAGGTGGCCCTTTTTGATGCCTTCACTATAGTTTTACAATATTTACCTATCAAGAAAATAAAAGCATCCATCTCTAATTTGAAGTCATAGTGCTAAACTGGAAGCAAATTATACTTGCTTTGACTATTAATAGCACCAATTCTAGTGACATAAATAGCTATTATAACTTGAACAACAAACTCAAAGAAAGATATTTAGGATCCAAGAATCAAAAGTGTTCCTCATCAATCAACCTGTCTCTTCTGAGCCATTCTGCAGTTAAATTAAACTGCATGTAAATTAGGTCTCCTCGTATGTTCTATGATATAAAATGCAGGCTCCACAACCAAATTTAATATCCCCCCTTCTTAAAAAAAAATGGAAGAAGTTCAGCATTTCTAACCAATCAAATTCAGCTTATTATCTTTCCTTCGTTGGCTTTGTGCCTAACTGCCTATAGCATAAATTATTATTTTTTTGTATAGAAAAAGAATCAAAGGTCCATACAAATAGTTACTATTCACTAACAAACCATCGCAGACCTGAGCATCAAACATTGAAAACCATTTAAGACGTTCCCTCGTCAAGTGTTTACAAAGCATACATAGATGCTGAAATTTACCTCCTCTCACTGTTCTCGCGTAGGAAATCAACAGATATTATAAGTCACAGCCTACTGAAAAAAAATACAGTACCTCAACAAAAATTGACTGTAACTTTATCTTCATGACTAATTTTGTGAAGTAACAATGTCAACAAATTTTATCGTGCGAAATCCCTTCTCAGGAACTCTCAACTTCCCTCAATTACCCCTCTTCCCATCAGTCAGGAAAACAATCATTAGTCCAAGGCGGAGAACACCAGAGACAAAAGACAAGGAAGGAGGGATTTTGCTCAGAATTGGAACAGGTGGGAAAACACAGCAGCTAAATGTTAACCCTTGTTGATAATGTATTGAGGTCTTATAGCTCATCCTCTACAGATCCCAGAGATGTTGTTAGCTCATTTCAGTTATTGGTCAAAACCAACTTTACTTTTGCATTTTACGACTAGCAACGTTCTTCAAAGCAAAAAAATCATAAAGCAGTAAAAGGTGAGATACAAAGAAACTCATAGCACAACTAACATACCTGGGATGGGAATCGAGACTTAAATGCCTTGGGTTCAATGCTAAAACTGCCATTTTCTGCAGCTTTGTAGATACCATACATCAATTTCAAATCAACGTCACATAGAAAGAGTTTCATCCCTTTATAAACTTTTTCAACCATCTCTCTCTTGTTTGCTGGGAGTCCCATAACCTTGTATCAATAGCATTCCTTCTTTGTCTCAGAATTGCACATGAATATCATACCCGTGCTATCAACCTGCTCAGGAATATCTCTGCCTTCACTAGACAATTTCTCAGGTAGCTTCATTTCCAGGGGTTACCTTCTTAGAGCTTTCATCATCACATGTGGAGACCAAATTTCCCATTTCTGTTCCCTTAGAATACTGATCATTGTCACCTTTGGGCGCCAAGTTTCCACAGTACTCATTAACCTTGCCTTCAGAGGCTACTTTCTTCAGAACCTGCTTAATTTCACCCTTCCCTTCAGGGTTTTCATTTGACTCTCTCTTCCGTGTATTCCTTTCATAGATTTTTTGGTCTTTTGATTTGTAATAGCTTCCAATTTTTCTATATTCTTTTTTTCGTCATTTCCTTCATATTCATCTTTACCAAGTGAGTCTCTTTTGTTATCTTTGTCTATAACAGCAGTATCTTCATTGTTACCCCTAACATCTTCTTCCATTACATCTCCTTCGTTATCTCTTACATAGTTAGCCAACATAGTTTCAGAGACAACTTTAGTTGCTTCTAGATTATTCTTCATCTTATTCATTATCAGAAAAGCTGTGTTATCGTCATCCGGAACTAATTTATCATTGATCAAACAACTAGAATTATCAAAATGAGAGATGTATCTTTCCATGACTAATACATACACACACCGACACACACAAACATCCAGTAAAAAATAGTTTCACAAACTAAAAGAGAAGATACGCAAAATATCCATGATTAGAACTTCATCAAGCAAAAACCGAAATGTAGGAGCAAAAATAATTAGCTTAGCGAAGGCGATTCTTCAATGCAACTGTAGAAACCCTAACCTCAATTTCAAACTTAAATATATCATCTATGAAGCAATTAAGCAAAATTTGGCGAGTTCAAAGAGAAATGGAGCCGTAACTTACTTGTTGATGAAGCTGATTGAAGCGAGCACCACTACTCCAAAGATGAGCTCCTCAAGCAGATTTGAGTGTTGATTGAGTTTGTGTATTGGAAGAGTGAGGAACAGGAAATGACGCTTACCGTGAGTGATGATCAAATTTTAACCGTAATGAAGTGACGATTTCCATGGCTTTGTGGGACCACCTTCTCCATCTACGTATAATTTCTTTGGAAAACGTGGAGCCATATCATTGGTTCTTTGATATTTTCTGCCACAACTATTTCTGTTGATTTAACAAATTTAGGACTTGCTCAAGAAAAGCCACTTCAAATTTAGCAAGCTTTTATAGTCACAAATCTCAAAGCATAAATTACGTACACAAAATTTCATAAAAAAGATTCAAAGAAATATTTAAATGTCACTCCTAAAAATTTTATTTGTTGCCAAAAGCAATTTTTTTTGGACCTTTTTACAATTAAACTTAGAATCTTTTCCTTATGTAAGCAAGATTTAAAGTACTAGTTATAGCATAACAGAAGATATAGTAGTATATACAAACTTTTAGAGTTTCTCTTATTATTCTCTTATATTTTTTAATTTATCAAATTATGTCACATAAATTATTAACGAAAAGAGTTATTGATGGTTAAATGATGTTTTTACTTAAAATTAGAAAAATACTCCTATTTTACTAATAGGATTTAGTGTACATGAGGTGTGTGCCTTATCAATTAAAAATAATAATGTGGAATTTTAGGTAATGAGTTTTTAGTGTCCTCACTCCACAGCCTTCCTAGAAAAGGATATTGACCCACTTGCTTCTAATGACAAAAATATCAGCGACTAATAACCAGATATTTACTATAGCAAATCAAATTACGACCACAGGAGGGCATTTTCGTCATTCTATTCCCCTTTATAAACACCAAAAACTCGTGGCCATAACGAACCAGACCCAGAATTACCCGTCGATTGCACATATCCTGACCTCTCCTTTCTTCAAAATTTCTCTGCTGTATCACGTAACCACAATCTCCTTCCGGTTCATGGACGGCGCGTGGTCTCCCATCGCTCGCCGCGTGCTCGGTTCCACTGTAATTGAGCTGACCAGAAGCAACTCTCGCGCCGGAGCTTCGTTTCCGGTACGGATATCCGCCCGGAGCCATGGCGTATCCACTTGTGAAGAGCGAGAGGCACCTCTAGGACCTTCCTGTATTTTCGTCGGACCTATTGAAACAGCTAGCAAAGAAACCTTAGAAGCCCTCTACCGACAGGTAATGCTCATATTTTTGGCTTGTTAGAAGCTTTGTGATTTGCACTAGTAGTGAAATTAAGGCTGGTTTGATTATTCAATGGATTCAGTAACATTGACTTCTATTCACGGCCCAATTACCTTGTATAACTCTCGGTATTGATTATCTTATGAATTATGAGTACTTGAGCTTTTTGCTTAATCAAACAAATGATCACTCATATGTGCCTTCAGACATTCACACACTAAATGCTCCAATGTTACAATTTTTGTGGCACACTTGAAATTTCGAGAGCCAACTAAGTGTCAGAAATTCCTTTGTATGTTAATTGTTATGATTTACGGTACGTATTATCGAGTTTCAAATATATAAAAAAAATTATTAAAAAAACTTGTAGCTCCACATAAATGGGGACAAAGGGAGTATGTAAATTAAGGAACCCATCATGTGTTGAATCACTTGAGTTTAATGACTATCTAATTATTAGCATGTCTGAGTGATTAAAAGCTTACTGATGCTTTTTGAGTACTTTATGTTTGTACTTTGTACTTCTTGTTTATCTTTTTTGATAATTTGTTGAGGAACTAAAGAAGATGCGAATGGGATATTTGAGGTCCATCCTGTGATTTTTAGTCCATGATGGATTATTTTTAGTCCTTGGCCAAAAACCTTGTCATTAACTGTATGTATTTCAACAAGAACTTATTAGTAGGAAGTGTTTGTAAAAATCCCCTGTAAATTTTGAGCTACAAAGATTGGTGGTACCACAGAGAAACTTGATTTCTTTTCTCTTTTTCTCCCTGTCCTTGTGCTCTCTGATTTTGTACTTCTGCTTTCTCATAGGCACGTGATGCTTATTACAGTGGAATGCCTTTAATAGTTGATGATATGTTTGACAAAGTAGAGGTAAGTTTTTCAATCTTTGATAGCTAGTGAAAACTTGAACTTATCTTTTATGTTCTGATCCTCATTCACATCATATTTGTTTTGTACTACAGTTAAGATTGCGATGGTATGGTTCAAAGCATGTAGTCAAGTATCCCCGCTGTAGTCTACGGCGGCACTCAACTTATGCTGACGCAGAGGTGATACTACTGTGATATGAATTGGTTATTGTAATACTACTGTGTTATACATAGGTTATAAGAATTTGTTATTGTGATATCCGTTTGAGTTTTCTTTAACTTTGTTGGTTAGAAATATTTGTGTTTGAAATATTTCTTCCATTCCTTTTAAACATACTGTAAATTTGAGTATTTCAAACTCCAAGTGGAAGTATCTTATATTTACGTTAAAATTGTAGCTTGTTATAAATTCTCTACCTTAATTTTCTTTTCTATTGCCTCTAACTTGTTTGATATATATAAGTCTATAACTTATCATATACTTGATCCATCTACTTTGCGTGTGCTTTGTATGCCTTCACTAAATCCTATTTGATAGATATTTCCATGGCCAAAGGATAAAGAAAACATTATGAATGTATACGTACAGTACTTACGCCACAGTGCTTTTCGCAAATCTGGTTCAGCCGTGTCATTCCTAGAAGCATAATTTTTCATCCTGGAGTAGTTTTTCTACTTGTAGACCAAGCTTCCGTCCTACACTTGAATATTGATTAATGTGGATGTAGGGCAGGAAGATCCTTCACAGGTGTTTGCATTAGCAAGTGTATGGTTGTTGATTCTTGGATTTGGGAGTTCATTCTTGATTGTGCCTTTAATCTGCACCATTGTTCAAGCTTATCAAGACACATTTGAATCAGGAATGCCCTATACTGATCAATCTTTTGAGTTGTTTACCATTCTCAATGGAATCCTTTTTATGGTGTTGGGATCTATCATAGGCTTTCCAATTGCTTCGGCCTCAGGTAATGAGTTTTCTTTCTTGAACTTTCATTCATTTCTCAAGTTTAATCATTATAATGTTTGACATAAACCCTCATACTGATATATAAATTACTTAGATGTGCTTTTAGAAATATTATTCAACAATATTTAACTTTAATTTTTGTAATCATGTTTATTACCCTTCCATTGACATCATTTTTTTCTTTGGTTTTCTTGGTGTTCATTAGTTAGGAGTTCTAGTGCAAGTAATATAAGTTGGTGAGCATTATAAGCATTTCTTAGTTCCTTAATAGGAAAAGGCTACTTATAAAGAGAAAATGGTTTTCTTTATCCATCTCAATTTACCTGCTGCTATCTACGCTTTTTTGCTCAGGTTGATTGACATCAAAGGAAAATAGAAACGACATCTTATCCTTTTGGATCTTTCAGTCTCTAAATGGTCTACCTTTCTTTAGATGAAATACACTTGTGGTCTTTGCAAATGACTGTTTTCATCTAAAGGTGGAAAATGACTGTATGAGAGTACCTCCATCTATGTGTGCACAAAAGGATCTTAACTCTTAAGCATCTAAAGAAATTATGACTTTAAAATCTTTGTTTGAACCAGCAATGCTAGAACTGGAAATGGCTCAATCACATCTTGTCAAGAATTGGAGAGGAAAATTTAGTTTAAGAGTGATCCTTATTAGTTCCGCAACTTCGTTCCCCTTCTAATTTTGCATCAGGTTGGTACTGTTGCATAATTAGGTACTAGAGTGAGGTTTGCAATAATTTTATCAAGAAGGTTACTGTTAGGAAATGGTGTTTGTTGAATTATATATTTTCAATTACTTTCCTCCATGTTGTACTGTTTTGGTGATGATCATCAGTGTAAATGTGATTGTTGAACTATGTCTAGAAGCAACGCTGGCCATAGTTTTTGAGAATTTATTTCTTGAATGCATCACAAGTACAGTTATAACTTGAGATAACTATTCACAGTTGGAGCACTTCAAGGACTTTGGAAAAATGACTTGGTCGCTCTGAAAGGGGCATGTCCAAACTGTGGTGAGGAGGTAACTACAGACTAGCTTCTCACATCTCCACAGATATTTCTAGAAGTTATTTGATATGATTACATTGATGAAGGGGTCAAATCGTATTTCCTTGTACTCAAATGGATGAATTTTATAGATCTTATCAATGTTACCTTCAGGTGTTTGCTTTCCTGAAAGCAGAGAAATCTAATCATTCCCCGCATAGAGCTGATTGTCATGTTTGTGGAAGCAGATTAGAATTTCAAACCAAGGTTGAGGTAATTTTGACCATGAATTCGGTTCTCATCTTACTTTACACTATATGCTTATTTGATTGGAAGAATTTTGTATATTTCCTTTTTTCTATCACTGTTACATTTTTATTTACTTGCTGGAAAGTGGAGATCACTGCTCCAGCTTATCTCATTACATGTAAATAATGGTTTAGTTATATATTCTGCTTCATGTGTCTGAAAATAATCAGTCTCTTTCATGATTATTACATTCTATTTCTCAATTTCAAAACTTTTGCAACATCATATTTGTTATGCCATTGAATGTTGCACCTCTCAGATTCTTGTCTCATTCAAGTATATAATTGCCCTGATACCATGCACTTTTACTGCAGCAATCCATTTCAAGACCTGGCAGACGTTGGGTATATGGTCGCGTTTACTTAATTAGACAAAGACAAAGATGGGCGTGATAATGATGCTCGTTGGATTCCCCTCCGTTAATCCTGATGATCACGAAGCATTATGTACACCTTCTTATCAGCCACAGCTCAGTTCGTCTTCATGTGTTATCTCCATACTAAATAGATTTGAAAATTATACTGCAATCGGTTGGGTTCTTAAATATAACTCAACGGCATGTCTCCCATCATGAAACATTTACTAGTACTATAATAGAAGAATTCCGCCAAAATATTTAGACACTCTAGTCTATTTGCTCATGCTAATTGTTTTCATGAAATGAAATTGTCTTATTTGTCTATATGTGAACTGGTCATTGGTGAACAGAAAATTGATTTTTATGAAATGAACAATATCTCATTCGTATATACGTAAACTAGTCTATCCAGTATTTGGCTGGCTCCTCTCATTCTGAATCTCTGCTTCTATGCTCATTTACATCAAAATGAATATTTATATTTATCTCCAACTTTTGAATCAATGAAAAGCATATGTAGCCACTTCAAAATTAGCCAATTGAATTGAATATTATAAATGAGA